GTTTCGACGTCAGGTATCTACGCCAAATTGGACTGCCTAACAGGCGCCATAGTTATTTTTGATTTGACCTTTTTAGAAGATGAGATTTTATTAGGTTTAGTGACGCAAATTCGAGCCCGTAAGGCTCATATAAACTAGGCAATTATTAATTTGTTGTTATATGACTAGCGAATCGGGCATGCTTGTAATTGACCGACTATTCGTTCAATCTAAACAAAATGTTCGCGACAGGAAAACTCGAATTAATTATCATTAACATGCATATAGGTCAGCCAGTTCTTACTGGAAATTTTCACTGAACTAAAAGCCGAGTCAAGACAGACGCGACAAAATGCTAGTCACCGGAATGTAGTGTGTGGAGTTCAAACTCAACGCGAGGGAAAGAAAATTTATGTATATGTATTTTAAAAGGATGCCATTGGAAAGTTTATCCGTTAAAAATAAATTAAAAATGTTTAACATGACTTATAGAATTTTCACTTATTTTTCCATTAAAAATTAGCTTTGGTCGCTAACTCGGTCAATTCTTGAAGACTAACTCATATTATTAATAATTGATGTATTTAAGCAGTAAACTGTAAATAAAATTTAAAAAATGTAAATAAAAAAAGATTCACTGATTTCTAATTATTAAAATGTCTATGATAACAAATTTTGTTTACATCTGATATGGGGTTGTAAGTGAAATTGTTGCTATTTTTGGCGATTATGTCAAAAAACGCCATCTGTCGCAAACGCCTCACTCATAGAACGATTGATAGCCTAAGTTAAACCTACTTCGGAGGTGGAGCAAACAGTCTTGAACCAAAAACATTTGAATTGGTCTCAGCTTTAATATAGACAAATCACTTGTTTGGGTAATAAATTGTTATGCCATTTAAAACGATGAACTTCATTCTCTGATCAGAGAAACAATTTCTTCTTCTAGATATTCGTGTCTGTTACATCCAGTTACAACCATTTCGGATCGTGGAAATTGTTATACGCACTCTGTTATGAGAAAAATGAGCTGCGCATAGGAAATAACTCCGCCATGGCAGACGAGTTTCATTCATTTAGCGGGTATCGTTGTCCACCTTTCGACAAGGTAAACTCTTACTGGTCGATCGGCATCGCGCGCAGATGAAACCCAACATTGGGATCTGCGATAGTTTTGGGAAACGCGCGCGAATCCGTAAAATCGGGTATTGAAAATATTACGGTTATTAAATCCATTACTCATTGCCTGGTATCGTATATCGACGAGTATGTGTGAACTTTTCGCGTGGTCTGCGCGATGTTTACACAGCGACGTTCCTGCCCACAGTGGGATCCATTTTTGGTCAGCGACGGCGGCATCGGGAAATTCGACGCCCGACTCCTACGACGAGCGTCGAGCATGGTTGCCGCGTTGCACACGAAAAAATATCAGAACTTGTTCTTGCACGATCCTTTTGACTTGAGAATGGCATATTAATTCCGATTCGATTAAAAATATATCGTACGGTCGACGACAAAAGACCAACGTCCTTCATTTATAAGTCTAGTGCAAAATGTGAAAGAAAATGTTGCCGTAATGTCAAATAAAGAAACGGTCGTCAGTATTGACTTTTTGGATGTTAATAAACGATAAGCCAGTTAAATCTAGATAAATCTTGCCCAAACTGCAATTATTTTGTTTTTGTCTTATATATAAATCATGTCCCCCATGTAGTCTTAAAGATTGCACAGTTTAGCTGTTATATCCCTGCAGATTTTTGATCTTTGTCATGTCTACAGATATGAAAGTATTTTCTAACTAAACCGAAATGTGCCGAAATAATCCAGAAAATCTTGGTTTAGCAGTATTTAAAAAATCCGATAAATCCAGATTTTCCAAAAGCTGACAATCTTTAAAAAACGTCTGTCTGCATAAAGTTTTATGATGTTTTCCATATTCAGAAAAAAGTACCAAAGGGAATATAGGGAATTTTTTTTAATTTGTGGATTAGGTGACTAAACAATAGTATTTGAAAAAAATGGATCGGACTTCCCCTTTCGATGAGTACAATATAAAAAAACATCCCTAAAAATCATCCAAGTTTGTCGAACTTGACCCAGATTCCTTAAAAACTCAAACAAAGCGCAAGAGAAAAACTGCGACGGTCGGTGGGAAGTGTCGGCAACGCCGCGAAAAACTGTCTTTTCGTATTTTTATCTCGGAAAAACAACCGGGGGCCGCGGAGCGTTAAGGCCGCGCGTATTGCATGAAAATACACATGTAAAGTTTATAATACAAATAACGATTTTCGTTTTCTCAATCGCCGTCCGAGAGAGTACGGCCCCAGGCGACCTCCGTCCGGCGCGGCACTGGATATTTTTAGAAAATATTTCGCGGGCTCCTGCCCAGGAGAGAGACGCTCCGTGTCGTGGAAAACGAGACCCGCTGATGAGAGTGCATCGGTGTGACGAAATGGCGACGCGGATAAAAGAAAATTAACAATCGCACCATGACGTCACGCGCGACTGTCAATGACTAGTGACGGCACATTAATAGCGGGCTCGTTATTCTTTTTCGTTATCAAAAAACTTTTTTTCTAAATCCGCAAAGGGTGCTCTTTTAGTAATAACTCATCCGGCTTTTTCTGTTATTCTTTGACTTGCAGCTGATGTAAAATACAAAACAATAAATCTTAAGATTGTGGACAAAATCAAAATGTGAGAAATTTGGAAAAATTTATTACAAATACAATGTTTATGCCCAACTTCACGATTGAACTCGATGCCTTTCTCTAACCCTTGTCTTCCAGGTTGCTCGGAACCCTGTAAATCCGAGACCGAATCTATTGTGACGTCACAGGATAGTAAATAAGCTGCCCGGAATTCCTTTTTGCGATTTTAAAACTCCTTCTACGTTAACATTCCATTTGGTTAGAAATAGTCTGACATAAAAATAGAATTCGTATAATAATAAAAACAACATTGAATTCAATGAATAAATGTCGATTAGGTTTAATTATATGGAAATGACATTCACAGAATAAAACAGAGGAATTACTACAAATTGATATATGATTTTTTGATATTTTTTCCTTGTGCCTCTTGGTATGCTATAGGCAGCTTGAAAAAGACTCTCAGTCTATTGCTTGCTATTTAATCTAGCGTAAAATTTATAATCGTTCCTCAAGCCTTAAGGATGTCTCAAAAATTACTAATGATTTGACATGCCAATGTCTCCCTTGGTCCAGAAAGCCTCAAGTATTGACTTTAAATTACATCCTTAGCTAATCTTCTTGTTGATTCGAATGTCCAGAGATGAGTTAGTTTTCAATGAGGTTCTTCTTTTGTAAAGTTGCCAAAAACAACGTCATTTCTAAAACGATCTTGAAATCTGGACAGGGTTGGAAAATCCATAGAACAAAAACCTATAGAAAAAAAAACAAAACATACGAACCGACTAATCCAGATAAAATGAATTAAATCCCATTCAATTCAAAATGTCTTTATTGGTATTGCAGGGATTAAGTCAGATCTACATCTGAAATCTTCATTTTGCAACTGGGCTGGTTGACGTTCGGGTCAAAAGCACTTTTGACCTGAACTTCAACTTCAAATTAACGTCAATATTTCCGAGTGTCTGGTACTGCTTTGGATAAATATATTAATAAGCCAGGAAAGCTCTCCGGCTGGCCGATAACCTTGATTCCGGGTGGGTGTCAAATTGTCTTTTCTGCACAACTCGGTATTAATAAAGCAGCTGACATAGCGATTTTTTCAATTACATCACGAAAATCCACAACCAAGGCTATAACGTTGGAAGCCGACCCGTGCCAAAAATAGTACCATCAGATAAGGTTACGGAAAATCAACAGGACCGGCTACAAATTCGATTGTTACCTAGTCGAAGGCGTTATTCCGAGACCATTCTTTTCAGATTCTATTTATAGGTACTCCGATGAAAAGTAAAAGTAAATTGGTTATTTGAATTCGATCGGCGATTTCCATAAAGTCTCTACCCACGCGTAACGCTGGCATACAAATGAGATGCAATTAGATACACTAATGCATGCCCTTAATTAAAAATTCAACAAACCGACAAATGGATCTCGAATTCCTTCAAGTCTACATGAAAAATCACTCGAATATGTATATCCTTTGCACTCAACCCATTGGCTTGTCGGAGAGAGTACCTGAGCTTGGCAGAAAAACGGTTTTGGCAATCGTCTGCCGATCCGGCTCTGGCAACCAGAGATTTTTGTATCTCCGAAGCGAAATAGGTACATTTTTCAAACTTATCGCAGGAAAACAAAATAATAAACCTAAAAATAGCGACCGAGGTAAACCTGGCAAAAATCTTGTTGAGCAATAAGCAAAGAGCTTCATACTGTGATACATCAAAACAATTCTGAAAATGACGTCCGACGCATAGCAGTAACCATCCCTTGCTTTACTGGTCACCAAAACTTACATTATGACGTAAACTTATCTCATCTTTAAAGCGGTTTATTGGAAAAAAAACACTGTTTCGAATTCGTGGTCGGAAGCCACTTGGGTAAGTATAGCTTTGGCGTTGCATTAAGATTCATACCATTAATAAAGAGTAAAACTAATGAAGGTTTATAAAATTCCCACGACAAATGCAAATAAACTTTATTATGCCGATCAAACTAAAGTTAAATACCAAATATCGAAATAACTACCTCATTTACTCGGTCAGAAATGCGAATATAACCGAAACTAACTTTGATTTTATTGAAAGACAATGTCATGGCCTGTCGGTTACCACAAACTTCCTAGAAATCAATAAATATTCATTTTTAGACCTTCGCCAGTAAAATTAGATCGAGAATGTAAAGAACTATTAAAATACCACGATGGTCACCCGCGATAAGGGCTGACCTCGGGGCTGACAACTGTCAACCGTCAAGTAACCTACACCAATTGTTTTGATCCTCGCCCCTCGCAGAGGGTGGTTGGGACTTGCGTTCTCGTAATTAGTAACGTTAAATGGGATTTCAACGGGTTTCATTGACAAAACTTACTTTTTTTTGTTGCTTTTCCCAAGCCGGGTCGAGTAATCCCTCCCGCTCCCATTCCTCCTCTTGTTCCATGTAACCATCGACGTAAGGGTCGATGCTATTATAACCGTCCGTTTGGATCATTGCAACGTTCGACAATAATAATCGCGAAAATGCACAAAAAATATGGAGTAAAACTTATGAGATTCGAGTTGTTATTTCGTTCGGATCGTCGGCAGATGTAACACGAGATGCTTCACGCGCACACGGACGCGATCAAAGCTACGCTCTTCGTCGCCACTGGCCCTCTACTAGCCCGACACTAAAGTTCGAATCGTGCGGGTCGCTAGAAATTCTGTTCGATTTCGGTTAAAGTTGGCGTTGCACCGGCCGTGTTGACGAACGTTCGAATGTAAGAACAGCAACGTTGCCGACGATTGGCGAAACATGGAACAGGCGTTCAAACGGGGGCTTTTAGAGAAGGATAAAAAAGAAACCAAACTCAAATACCCACTGAGATAGTTACTCGATCAGTGCGCTTTGAGGACATCGTGCCATGTCAATAAATTTGTTTATAATGTTTGAACGTGTCACATTTAGTTATACACGACAGAAAGTTAAATTCCTAATGAAAGATGCGTGAATAATATAATTTTTTTAGTCATACATTTTTTCTTAAAATTGAATAGGTAAATAAATCAATGACTAAAAAAACTATTCAACGTAGCAAGGTTATCAAAAATTTCAAACAAATATAGGTTCCATGGTGTAATGGTTAGCACTCTGGACTTTGAATCCAGCGATCCGAGTTCAAATCTCGGTGGAACCTTAAACATTTTGTTGATATTTTTGTTCAAACTATCATTTATTAAAAATAAAACGGTTTTTTTCGAGCAATATTTTTTGTCGTGTTTAATTTGACAAAATATTATATCTTAACTAAATTCTTTTTTCAAACCCAAATAATCATTTAGATTATAAACCAAAATTTCAAAATTAATTGCTCTATTTATTGAAATTTAATATTCGAGGATGGCGACGCATGGATTTTTCTATAGTTTTATATTATATAATTTTTTGGCGGAATCAGATTTATAATTTTGGCCACACAGGTGTTGGAAGAAGAAGGAGTGACAAATATTCTTTGCTTTCTGTGATCTGTGATATTTTCGGCCAGCTGACTGCAAATATTTGTAATCTGTAGTATTGTCTGACAGATGTTTGAGGTTATTATTTATATTATTTTTGTAGATTTTAATTCTATGTAATTTCTGAATTAATAAAGCAACTACTCGAGAATGTCGGAACGTAAAGTACTAAACGTAAGTTTTTATAGGATGTTTTGAAATAAAGCTCTTCTAATCAGTTTGCCTTTTACAGAAATACTATCCCCCAGATTTTGACCCCTCCAAAATACCTCGTATGAAATTACCAAAAAATCGGCAATATACTGTTCGTCTCATGGCACCGTTTAATATGAGATGTAAAACATGCGGGGAATACATTTACAAAGGCAAAAAATTTAATGCTAGGAAGGAGGATGTTGAAAATGAAGACTATTTAGGTATTCGAATATATCGGTTTTATATTAAGTGCACCAGATGTTTACAAGAGATATCCTTTAAAACTGATCCACGAAACACAGACTATGAAATTGAAGCAGGCGCCACAAGGAACTTTATGGCCTTAAAACTTGCGGAAGAGCAAGCTATTCGCGAAGAAGAGGAAGCAAAAGAAGAAGAAGCGAATAATCCTATGAAACTGTTGGAAAATAGGACGAAGCAATCTAAAAACGAAATCGAATTACTGGAGTCTTTAGAAGAATTGAAAGATTTAAACAAAAGGCAGCAAGTTGTCGACTATGACAGAATGTTATTGCCTTATGACACGACTCTTACTGAACGGGAACGAGAAGAGAAATTGCAGCAGTTAGATGAAGAATACTTAAAGTGAGTGTATTCATAATTCAAACTAATGTAATATCTCGGGGTGAACATTTGCAGTTTTTAGATTTTAGTAAGTAACTTGGTATGACAATTTTTGTGGGTGCCACAGTATATTTTTAGGTCTGTCAAATTTAGTAACACGCAAAAACGGAAGCTAGTGGTTGAAGAGGAAATCATAGAAGATGCAGACTCTAAAGAGCCTGATCCAAAATCTTCCAAATGCAATTTGATGAAAGAATTGGATAATTGTTCAGTCATTTCTAATAGTTGGTCAAAAGCAGGCTCGAAACCGGCGAGTAGTAAGAAAAACGCACTTTTCGGTATTGTCAAGATTAAAAGCGACGCTAAGAAGGAAAATGCACCCGACACCCATACTGATATAAAGAAAAACGACAATACTGATGTGGCAAACGGATTGTCATTGTTGGGTTCTTATTCTGATAGTGATAGTAATGACAGCAACTAAATACAAATGTAGATATTTTATTGAAATTTGAAAATACAAACTAAGAGGAGCTGCATTCGTATGTTCTGTTTGGGGGAAGGTTTATGGTTTGAACCTATTGCCGATCTTCATTTCTAACCTTTCCAGTTTAGCGTCCCACTTAAGATGTTACCAGTTGTTTCGCTTTCCTCTGAAAAAGTTAGAAAAAAAGCGACATTTTAAAACATTTATAAAAATGATTAGATAGAATGTAAACAACTCTTTTAGCTCAATCATTCAGGTTTATAGTATGTTTTGACCTATCATAGGAAAATATAATTATATAAAATATAAGGAGAACGTCAGCTGTCCAATGCAACTATTTTAAAAATGGCGTCAATAGTTAATTATATGTTATATTTTCATAATTATATAAAAGGACGTTGAAAAAATAAGAATAAAAATATAATTTTTGTAATTTCAATATTTAGCATTAAAGGTTAGAATGTTTTTAGCCTTAAAAATACACATCGCCACTTAAACATTTTCTCTTTACAAATTAATATTGCCGTGGCAAATGTTTACTACCAATTTAACGTGTGCGTGTAATACAATTACGTTTATGACGTCACGATTATTCAAAGGAAGAATATAAACAGACCCAGTTAGGTTAGTTATTTTATTACTTTTTCCCCACAAGCAAATCTTTTCCAGGTTTCGTGCGCCCTGGTTCGGTAACTGCAAAAATACCAGAGCTGACAACTTTTATACGTTTTAATTCGTTTAGCAATAGGGTTAATTACACGTGTTATTATTACTGTGAGTCATTGCGAGCTTCACCAAACTGGTCAAGTCTTCATAGGACTCGTTAGCCTGGTTCTGGAGGTACTCGTACCTCTTGGCGGTCAAATCCAAGATTTTGCTCAAGCTGTGCTTGGTTGCTGTGGTGTTTCCGAGTTGCACGGTTTGTGTAGAGTTAGATTTTACCAAGCTCTGCTCGTTAGTTCGCGAATTCAGATTTACCGTGGTTAGATAATTTAACCTAGTTTTGAGAAGGTCGACAGTTTGTAAGGACAGCCCTATTAGAGATCTTGAGTTGATTGGTTTATGGGAGTTTGAGCTATAAACGGTACAATTATTAGAGGTAGACAATGCGTGCGAACTTTCCAACGTCACGTGAGGATATTGAGATGGACCGTAAGGTGTTTGCTTCTCGATTTTATTTTTTAACAACTCTTGGTGAAACCCGCAACGATCGCTCGCGTGCGATGGCCGCTCGCGAATGAGTTGCGTTTGCTCGAAATATCTCATTTGATTTTCGTACCGTGTATTAATGTCGGCCAACTGATTAACGTGGGCTTTCGTACTTTGCAGTTCTTTTTCCATAGTTCCGATCGTCTCTTGCAGTTTGAACCGCTTCTCGTTGGTCAGCATCAGATTTTCCTCGAGGCTTTGCACTTCGGTTTCCAGCTTGCCAATTTGTTGCTCGCGCAAACTTATCTTCTCCTGCAGTTCCTTGATCAGGCGGTCTTTAAATTTGCCTTCTTTTGTCACCTAATAACCATCTCTTTAATTATTATACTAGATTTATGACAACAAAAACTGACAAAACGGTCCTAGCATTTAAAAGATGTCTAAAATCACAATCAACTTAATTAATCTTAATCACTCACATGATCGGTTTCACGTTTTTTTTACATTTATTCTTCGTACAAGGTGTACGGAGTGTAGGGATATTCCGATACTAGTAAATACGAGTAGGTACTCGATACTTTTGATCCGATACCAAGAAACAAAAGTACTTGGTATGAAATCGAATCAGCCTCACCATTTAAAATTAAAAAAAAAAAAAAAACGAACGCATCAGACAAACGTAATCTCTATCTGATCTGTGGTGACGCGTTGTCTCGCGCCAGCCAAGCCGACCTCGTCCGACTTCACTCGACCGAGCCCGAGCCAATCGCGAAAAAGACGTCCGCCCTTCATTTTTTTTCATTGTCAAACATACAAGAGATTGCTTACGAATAATTTTATTTATTTAATGATAGGCTTATTATTCCAATGTTATCATGGAGTTTTTTGTTTAAAGTACGTGCTTAACGTGAGGCAAACGTTTATAATAAAAATTTTCTTGTTAGTTTTGTTTTAATCATTGTCCTTCAACGTTCATTGTTAGTTTCCTTAAAATAAATTAAAATAATAAAGTCCTAAAAGTATCGATATGAGTAAGTATCGATACTTTAGGAGTATTTATTTGAGTAGTATCGAAAAAAGATTTGAGTACTATCGAAATGAGTCGGTATCGATACTTTAATAGTATCGGAACAACGGAACGGGGTGTAACAGTAAATGTTACAAATGGATGGAGCTGCGTTACGTAAAAAAAGATTTTATGATTCAATATACAGAGAGTCAAAAAACGCTCCACTACTTTTTAACTGTGAAAATCGCACGTCCTGGAAAGATGTAAAATGACAACGGTAATCAATTAATTTTTAAAGAATTGTTGTATAACGCTATAAATACTTTCAAAAAGTACTCAATTATTTTGTTTAGAATGTTAGAATTGAAGCAGAGGGATGAAAAAGGTAAAGGTCATTTCGCATCAAAATTACTATATATATATTTTTATCAAATTGTTGATGGGTAAAGGTTATTTTAGTGTATTTTAGTGTCATTTTACTGCTTACCTCTATTAAAACGGTACGTATTTCCTCCGAGTACTTCGTCAGACTCTGCCTCTCCATCAGCAATTCGTCCCTGGTAGCCTTGAGCACCACGGTCATGTTTTCGCGAAACCTCAGCAAGTTTTCCATGTCGCTCATTTGCTGACTCTGCTTTTCGATAACGCTCGCGTAATCTTCCAACTTTTGCTCGCTTTCCATCGATCTGAAAGTCACTGCGTAGAAAATACTGACCGCAGGTTGGTTCCTACTTTTTCATCAGCTCGTTCAATTTGTGCCGCCCTTCCTCCACCATCCGCTGTAATTCTTCGGTCGGGCAATTGTAGTTCTGCTCTTCGAGGGCCTCCTGTCTCACTTTTAATTGCCTAATCTCGGACCTCAAGTTTGCCACCTCCATCGACCTTAAATTGTTAAGTCTAACCATAGATTACGATAGATTTTGCAATTTTGCGTCATTCAACTGAAACGCTACGAGTGAAGTCGTTAAGTATGACGTGAAACTGTGCTATTTACTTTTCTTTCAGTTTGTTTTCGCTCTCTTCCAGAAGCATCTGATATTTGCCGATACATTCCTGCTGTTTATATAGTTCCTTTTCCGTTTCCGAAGGCTCGTGACTCCGGTGCTGAAATCCGCATGATTCTTGAGGCTAGACCCTCTACACCCCGCACCACCAAATCACATACTACAAGATTTTACAAAAATTGGACCTTAAAACCCTGCTGTAACAGCCTGCAGGGCTTCAATTTTTGGTGGCGCGTTAATTTTGATATTAGAATTCTTTTTTAAAAATTTGCTTACTTGTAACTGCTTCTTCTCCTCGAAACTGATAGCTCTTTCCTTCTCGAGATGCCGCACTTTATCCTCCAGTTCTCTTATCCGAAGGTCTTTCGCGATATCGTGTATGTAATTTTCCGCTTCCGCCGATTTTGCTTCCGCGAGGTCTGAAATTTTCGCCGCGGTAACATCGTCCGATCCAACGACCCGCTAGCACTCACTTTTACCCCACTCGATACTGTAGCTGACCTTGTCCATGTTTTCTTTAAACTCTAAGCCCATCCGGCTGACGTAGCTCTCAAAATCGGCACATTTTTCTAGCGCTTCGTCTCGTTCCATCGTCACCGTCGTTAAGCTTTCCTTAGTCTCTTTGAGTTCGTCGGTCAGCGATTCGATCGTTTTGCGCAGCTCGTCCTCGACGGTAGAAGTGTGGTCGGTGATACTCTCCAGCCTAAAGAGATGAACGTTATCATGTCAGTTTTAAAGCCAAGCATCCTTAGAGTCCCTCAAACCTTGATGCGCCGTATGAGGGATCTTCCCAGATGTTGGCTCTGTCGGCGCTACAAGCTCGAGGATTCAGTAATAGTCGGAGACAACATTGTAAATGTACAAGAGATATAGTTTACAGCTGAAAGTTAGCGCTCACCACCCAACCCGCACTCAAATTTTACATACAACTATTTGCTAGTATAATTGTATTTCTATAAAAAATAAAATAAAAAACATTATCGAGCATCGTAATTAGGGACAAAGGGGCAGTAAAAATTGTGAAAACATTCTTAGGGTGGAATCCACCAATAACCTTGTCTCGAATTGAGTCTTTTCCGCCGTCAATTTTTGCAACAGATTCTCTTGGTGTTTCAAGCTTTTGCTCATTTCTTCCTTATCCTTGGTCCATTGAGATTCTTTGTTTTTGAATTGTTCTTGAAGCAATCTGGAATGATTGCGTTACATTTGACCAACCCGTGATTGCAGACTTGCTTTTCTATACCAACCGAATTTTTTTTTGTAGCTCGGCATTCGAGTTATCTACATTTTTCTTCTCCCCCTCAAGTTCGGCGATTTTGGCCCGCATGTTTTTCAAATTTTGCGAGTGCGCATTACTTCTGGTCTTGAAATCCATGCTGGCTTTTCTCTCGCTTTCCAAATCCGCCTCCATTTTCTGCAATTAGACGTTACATCCAGTTGCTCACCAGTAATAGCAAGCCATTTTACTTTAATTTGTTCTTTGAGGGTTTGCGTAATGCCATTCAGCTCCGCCAATGACTTGTCGTAAGACGATTTTTTTTCGTCCATCTTTTTCTGTAGATCCTGGATGATGTAGTTCGATTCCTGTACGAGGCGTTCTTGTTCTTTGAGCTTGGCTTCTAGCTCGACGATCTTTGTGCCGGTATCTGGAGATTGTTTCTCGCTTAGTAACTTTTGCCAGTTTCCCACCAAGTCTGTTATTTTGGCCTGATGTTCCGTTATGACGGCGTCTAAAGACTGCTGCAGTTGGTGACCTTCGCTCTGCAACAAAAATAATGCATAATCTGGGAAGAAATCTGGATTTCTATTCACTTTTAGCGATTCGATTTTGTCCGACACATCCGCAACGTCTACTTCAGACTTGGTCACGCTTTCCAATAGCTCGACAATTAAAGCCCGCCGACTCAACAGATTTCTACAGATTTCCATCAAGGTAATCGGGATTTCTTCTATGGAATTCTTCATGGTGGTCACCATTTCGACTGACACCTCTTCTCCCGCTCCGTGCTAGAAAATTGTCCTTAAATATTTTAAAATCAATTACCCGAATCTTACTCCTTGGGCTTTGCCGTGGTCTTCAGTTGGAACCAGCTTAAACTCTTCCAGAACCACTTGTTTGCCGAGCTCTTCCAACCGCTTCTTGATCTTAGCCAGGCTTTGGTACAAGTCCAGCACCGGCTTTTGTTTCTCCAAAAGTTCCTTTTTCATTTGGACGTACCTTTTGTTCTTATTGATAAATTGTATCTCGAGGGTGTGTTTGTTTGCTACCGTGCTAATTCGACTGGCCGACACGGATGCCGTTCGTGAACTAGAATATCAAATTGGCTTGGGTATTATTGCATTACATGTTGTAGGAGGACAACAGCATTATTTTCGACTATCTGTAATTTTATTATTTTGAATTTGTTTTTTATTGAGAGTATGGGAATATTCTTCAAACCTCGATGATTTTATGAACTGATTTTAGAAACTGTAAGCTATACAGATTTGTTTAAATCAACCGACCGTAAGAAATATGATTTTTAAAATTTTTAAGGATATCTTGAGATATAGGTAGGTACTTACGAAAAATGTGATTAAAGAACTAAATTTAATTTATCCAAATCTGTATATACCACCGTTTCCAAAATCACCATATCGGCCCTTATCTTAAATGCATTGAGTCTAGAGAGATAATATCTCGTTCCATATTTAGGCTCTGGAGCTTTATCAGCGTTGATCCCTACATTTCGAAAGAACATTTTGGAAAGTATCTTTTACGCATTTTGGAGAACTGTTGCAATTTAACCGACCTATTGGACTTCACGTTTTTCAGCTGCGAGGCAACGTTAATCGGTCCTGAGGATTTAACTGGCAACGGGATACTGGACCATAGTGTCGGTCTATAGATCGGTGATTTCGTCTGAGAAAGGTCTTTTCTACCGGACAAAGGTCTTCTAGGGGTTGCAGAACGCTTGAAACCGAAAGCATCACTAGATGACACGTTGCTGCGCGCGCTTTTGCGGGAACTCTTGGTGGCAGTTTCCGCGTTCCCTTGGGGAAAGTCGACATCAATTTTCTCGACTTGGATGGTATCCTGTCGGAAAATATTGTCGATGTTATAAAATTTTACCATGTTGTCCTGGGTTTTGTAATATTTTTTGGGCATTTTGTGATATTCTGTTTATTTTCGCCAACTGAGGACCAACGTTCGGCTAAAAATGCGTCATCCAAAAAAAGAAAAAAGGGGGATGGGCTGTTAAGTTAAAAAGAAAGAATGGGTCGTGCGAAAATCCTTATCTCGTAGCAATGAATTTTTTCTACTCCCATCTGTAAAATACCTAGGACTTTTCCAAAAAAAATAATCATTAACAACCAAATTACATCATTAATTTTTTAAGCGAGGTACTTAAACTGTTTTTACGAAGATTATCTAGTTAAGAACTGGCAATACTGCACTGCAACGCAAAATAGTAATAGTAGTTAATAAAATGCCTATAATTTATTTGGATTTCCTGTAAATTACACTGAAGGTACTGATTTCATATTTTGATATTAATTAGCAAACCAATTTCAACTAAATTTTGTACAAAACGGTTTAATTAGCGTAATACGAGATGCTCTGGGTGCCGCGTCATTAAATTTATTAAAACAACGCGTTGCCATATTTTCAGCAGGGTTCTAGAATAGAATATATCTCGATTTATTTAAATCAATAGATTTTTATTAAACAACTGTCTTATCTTCAATCCAAACAATGCGGGTCGTCAAAAAAACCTTTGAAAATGAGAATTAAACTAACCAATAGTGGTTCGAGGGTTGATAAGAACTTGAGAACGTTTGTTGTGGGCAATTTCACAAGATAAATTGGATCTGTTAGTTACTTCCGGACTTACCATATTGTCTATTCCGCTTGTCGAATAAAAGTCGTCATCTAGATGAATATCCCCTGGAAGGATGTTGTTGTTAATAATGCTCGAAATTTAAACGGCACATTTTGAAAATTTGTTTGTTTCTTTTGGACGTTTCGTCCATTTTACGTCAAACATTTGTGTGCGAAACCAATCTTACCGGTATTTCCTAAAGTCCCCTCCGGTTGAAGCGAACTCATCACTTGTTTAGCTGAGTCTGTCGTTCTTGTACATTATCCAAACAGAGCAGGCCCCACAAACGAAATTTGTACACAATGAACAAAATGATCGACAAAATGTTACAACGCAAACAGTTGATTTAGCAAATACGTCATTAGGAGTGACATCTGATGTTTTGATTAATGTTCGAGATGGGGCTGTTTACGATGTTACATCGAAAATTATTTCCCTTGCTAGTTCGTATATCGGAAATCCAAAGAGGGTACATTTTGTTCATAGTATGTGGCAAAAATTTGTTGCAAGGTATCTTTTTGTATGTTTTTTTAACACCAACATCTTTGGAAAAAAAATTTTTTTGTATACGTGTTATTTTGACTAGGTACTGTGTTTTCCAAAGAATGGTGTTTAAAACCAAAATATTTTTTTAGTACTATTTCAAAAAATTAAAAAGCGGCTCAAAATTATTCGACTCTTTCGTATATAATCCTGTTTTCTGAAAAAAATTGCGCACCCCTTCATTCAATCGTCACTCTCTTATAGACCTCGTCGGTAATCCAGAACATAGAATACAAATTCAATTTAACTCGGGAAAGTTACATAATCCAATTTGAAATTTTTAATGGGATTTAAAGTGTCGAATGTTCTGCAAAGACTTTCAGATCAGGTACCAAATTTATAATCGGTCCGGATAGTTTCTAAGCTTTAGATTTATCCGTCCTCGCTTAAAATCTAAATTAACACTTCAGGGTCGCGACGTGGGTTGTTTTTGAAAGTAAATGAAGCCGTTGAAGAGGCAATTTCTTCTAACACTAACTAACTCGAATTTTGATCGTTTTAGTGATATAATTGAAATGAAAAAAAATTGTAATTAGCCTTCTCTAGAAGTTCTGTCTAAAAAGGTGCTTTGTAAACAAAAATTTTTTCCATTACAGAAAAGTTGCAGCATGGTCACCATATTGGATTTTTGCAGTGCTGAATAGTCCGTAATATTACCTTTATATTGATGTATCATAAGTTGTATTTGTGTTCCTTCAAATTCAAAATATTGAACAAAACTTTTATACCATAGTAATGAACTTTCAAATCTGTCGATGACATTTTAATATCTACTAGATTACTGTGTCGTTAAAAATGGACTTTACCAATAAAGAAAAATGATATATGGTAAAACTTTATTATAAAAAGGATAGAAGCGGTGTCAAGATATCGGAAATATATTTAAACATCTATCTTGAAACACGACAACCTCATCGAACTTTGTTTAAATTGTTGGATAGAAATCTCGCTGAGTTTGCTTCATTTGAAAAACTAAGACAAAAATATGGAGACAGACTGGGTGAAGAAAATAAAGAAAATTTAGTTAATGAGACACGGATTAACGGAAAATTCTTTTTTTCCTTTCAAGAAAAGTTTGCATTTTGGAGATAAATATGAAACTGAGAAAATCCACACGCCATGTAGGTGCTCCTTCTGATACGAGTTCTTCAAGAGACCCAAAAACAGGTATTTATAAAAACAAAATTTTGGGTCCTCATTTTTTTAACGGCACTTTAAATGGAGAATCGTATTATCAATTTTTGATGTCAATGCTTGAAGACTATTTGGATGATTTACCCTTGATCCGCTACAACAGCATATGGTTGCAGCAAGATGGCATCCTGCCTTATAATACAATACAGGTATCTGATTATATTTCGACAAGGTTTGGCGACAGATGGGCTACACTTAAAAATAGAATTTACGTGCGGGGCGAATACCAAAATATCGAAGAGTTCCAAATCAACATCATTAGAGAGTTTGGGAGATTACGTGGGTGCGAAATACATCGCGCAGTGCTTAACATGCAGAGAAGAGTAGAACTGTGGTTGCAGAATCACGGATATTTTAAGCATGTTTTGTAATTAATTTATTATCTTTACGTATAGCCATTATTATTGTTAGATTTTTTCTTTAATATCCTGAAGTTTCTCATTAATTCTACATTCATAATTTTTGCCATATCTCAAGTTTCTTTATTGGTAAAGTCCATTTGTAACGACAGATTTGAAAATTCACAGCTTACTATGTTTTAAAAGTTTTCGCTCAATATTTCGAATTTAAGGGAACACAAATACATCAATGAAAAGGTAAATGGGAATATTTTTGCAGTTTTAAAATAAAAACATAAAAAAATAAAAACAGACACCGGAAGTTTCAGATGTCGAAAATAACTTTCGCACCATTTTAATATATTAAATCAGATTAATAATTATGATGAAACCCTATTGTGTTCTGCTAGATATTTGCCAACCATTTTGAATTAAAATAAATGTTAAAAAATACTGTTTTGAGTAGGTGGAATGTTACCATATTTTTAACGGGAATTAAAAAGAATACAAGTCAACCGGCCCTGTAACGCACAGGCAAACTATATTTCAGTCTAATAGAAAATTTCGCTGAACGAACGAAAAAGCGTCACCGTTACATTTTTATTAAAAGTGGAGCTACAGTTTAACGAGGTTTTGATAAACTGTTTTACATACGACGCTCTAGAACGCAAAAAAAATGCCGCCACTATTTTTTAAAAATTGCATTGTAGCTTTTAATAAACTCGTATTTGAAACCTTATCTTCTAAAAATAAATGTCCCAAAAATTGATAGAAATAGGTTGCGAAATTTCATTCTTATTTCAAAATGCGTTATCGTGCTGAAAATGATAAGATTTGGATGCAGAATATGAGTGTTTATATACTCAATCGAACTGATCCTAACTGGAATACCAATCGACCACAATGAAATGGAAAGGATTGCTAAATTGTTTTGTATACATTGTGAAGATAATTTGTACAGAACCCCAAAGATTGATTTACATTTGTTGAAACGCTAATATAGTTAATAAAGTAAGTATTTGTTTTATTTTGAGGTGTAGTAAATAATTGGTTTAAAAAGTGCAAAAAGAAACATCTACTAATTTTTGGTTTGTTTTTATCTTATTAAAAATATACAAATACAACAAATATAGAGATGTAAATTTATTTAATATCTTGCCAATCATTTTATAGGATGATTCTTTAGAAATTCATATCATATCATGAAAATTAGGGGGAGAAGTTGTTTTTATTAAATATCTCAAGTAGAAAAAAAATGTAGAAATAGCATTGGGTTTTTGCATCACTGTCATGTTAACACAATAACAAAAATAATATAAAAAGTCGAACTGTAAATCGCAATATTCTGATCTGATCCATTAACTTTGAGTTTGTATAAATCTAGGAAATTTTTATGGTGGCTTGTAACTGTATAATATAGATCTTGGTTCACTTTATCTGACTTGAATATGTTTTTGTAAAGAAAATTATACCGAGATTTTCATATTAGGCCGGAAGCTCTGGACCTTTTTAGAAAATGATAAGCAACAAGCTAATTCTTTGGAAATGGTTTCATTTCATCAACACGCCCAACCTTTTCCTTTACGAAAAGGTAGCTAACTATACACGCAGGTATAAAATCATGTCAATTTAGTTACCATACCAAAATTATAACCAACAGTTTAGTTTTTAGCTAAATCTATAGATATTGAAATATATAATTTGAAATTAAATTTGGTCTACAAACAAATAGGTTTGGTATAGAGTGACCACCCCCTCAAAGTTGTATCAATTATTTATTTATAAAAAGTGATGAGCAACATGCTAAATTTTTTACTGTAGTTTACTAATCATTTTTATAAACAAATGATCACATTGTCCTACAAATAAACAGGTAGGATTTTTCCGTCCTACACTTTAAAGTTGTACAAAACTATTTTTAAAAACCATCCGCAACCACCTAGATTTTTGTGAGTGGATTCGTTTGAATAAGACGCCCAGCTATTTTGTCGCGAAAAGTTGCAAAACAGGTAGCTGAAAGAATGAGCAGGTATCAAATCATGTCAAATTGATTATTATGTAAAAGTGATCAGCAACAGCTTATTTTTTAACTAAATTTTGAGATAATCAGATAAATAATCTAAAACAACATTTGTCCTACAATTAAAATGGTAGGTTTTTTCAGTCCTACACTGGAAAATTTCGAAAATTGCCCCTAACTTAAACGTGGTTACATGTCCATACGTGTATATTCGAATATACGTGTATATGTATACATACACATACTTAAATCAAATCGGCGCATCAACGCGCATGCGCGTAACATCGCAACGTCGTATGCAGCACATGCATACAACACACATTGTGCATTAAAAAGTTTTGTTAACGTGACTTGTCAACACGTGTTAATTAATTTTCTTTTATAACATTTAATTGTGAAAGTGATCATGGAGTAATATTGTAATTGTAATTTACTCCGTGATAAACCTAATTTTCGTGAAAAAAGAGAGAAGATAAAATTCTGTAAATATTTAATGCTAACTACAAAACTAATCTACACCATTTAAAAAATAAAAATTATCAATTTTATTTACCGTTCCCACTTACTTATTACTTGTATTATAATGAATGGGTGTACCGCATTATTTGTTATCGATTAAAGTCAACAGAAAAAATTTTTGATTTATTTCACCCATATAATCACCCACTTACTTTTTCAAAAGTTTATCCATCTAATACTGTCATGAGTTAAAAACAAGTAAGAAAAAAATCGGCGTGAAAAAAAAATGAATAAAAATTAAATATTGATTTCTTAAATTATAAATAATAATGAAACAACTTAATTAACCCCATTTGTATAAAATAGCATCATAGATAATGGCTGTAGGAATATTTTAACAACAAAAATAAAAGTTAATCGCTCAACTAAATTTATAGGTTAGACCGTAATTTAGAGGTTAAGCAGGAATAACGTTCTAGAGCCAAACTTGCAACATATTTTTTGTCGGACTAGCGAAATATACCTATTTTTATGTAGGACATTAATTGATTTAGATAGAAAATGCCATTTAATTTTAATGTCCTACAGTTGCTGATGAATAACGTATTATCGTGAGGTCAACAACTTTAAAGTGTAGGACTGAAAAATCCTACGAGTTTATTTGTAGGAAAATGGGATCATTTGTTTATAAAAATTATTAACAAGCTACAGTAAAAAATTTAGCATGTTGCTCATCACTTTTTATAAATAAATAATTGATACAACTTTGAGGGGGTGGCCACCCTATACCAAACCTATTTGTTTGTAGGCCAAATTTAATTTAAAATTATATATTTCAATATCTATAGATTTAGCTTAAAACTAAACTGTTGCTGATCATTTTGGTATGGTAACTAAATTGACATGATTTTATACCTGCGTGTATAGGTAGCTACCTGATACGATTTTCGTAGAGGAAAAGGTTGGGCGTCTTGATGAAATGAAACGATTTCCAAAGAATTAGCTTGTTGCTTATCATTTTAAAAAAAGGTCCAGGGCTCCCGGATTATATATATTTAAGAAAGACTTAACATTCATATTTTTTGGTATTTAGAGCAAAAATTTCTCAATTTCGTACCCTAGTGCGATGTACAATACTCGTTTCTAAAGTACAAGTTTCGTTTTGGTTTCCCTGTCTTTTTTTTCCGTAAATTTTCATCTCGAATTAATTGCGCGTCTTGGCAAACTATTTTATTCAGTTTTGGACTGGGTGCGCAAACAAAGACTGCGATTAAATTTTCTTTAACGTCGGGAACAACGAAGTAGGGATTTCGGAACGACATTCTTTGGCGGGAAACTATTTGCCAATCCGCCCGGAGTAGTTAGAATTCGCCGAAATCATTATTTTAAAGTTTATTGGTTACTAACTGGCGGTGAACCGCATCTGCGGATTCCAGAGAACTCGCGAAACCACACTCCGATTTTTAATTAAGAAACTTTTTTCAACAGGTCCGCCGGATGACTGCACAAAAGTCTATTGCTTTCATAGGTTAGATTGACGTTGGCGGCAATTGTCGCTTGTTAAATGAAATCGAAAAATCGAAATCGTTTTGGTTTTATGTGGGAACAAAACAACAAAATTGGTCAACATTTTTTCATTTCTTTTGATGGCAGAATCGGTAGTACCATTTGAGAATCACCCGTGTGGTGATGTAATGCGTTTTGTACAGTTGAGGTATAATAGTAATAGCAGTTGCGTGACTACCAAGTTTTGATTAAAAACAGACATCTTTACTTTGCGATTAAAACTACTGAGAGAGTCAGAGAATAAATCAATATGCTCGTTATTTGTGAGTAAAATATTTGTCAGCTTGCACATTCGATTCATAGGCGAGTTAATGCCATAGTTGGTCCTATGAAAATCAATATTAAAAAGAGCCTTATTTCTTGCATTAATAGGAGAAATATGAAAACCAACAGATGCCAGAAGATCTGGTGAATCCATCAAATTATTAAGGATTTTGTATAATGTGGCGATGTCAAAAAATATGCGCCTACTCTCCAAAGATGTCGGATTCAAAAGCTTCATAATCTCTTCGTAGTTTATATCCTCAAATGACATTCCCAACTTAAACCCTATCCCTCTAAGGATCTTACGCTGCACACGCTCTATCCTTTCCTTGTGAATTGCTTAGTATGGTTGCCAGACACAGCTAGCATACTCTAAAATTGAACGCACAAGCGCATAGTACAGCTCCCTATACGTAAAAATGTCCTCAAAACTCCAAGATTTTTAACTAGATTCTGTCTCGCGAGCGATCCAGAGTTCAAACGATAGGTGAAAGTTACTGGATTTTTGGATCTGCCAAAGCTTACAATTTTGCACTTGTTTGTATTAAGAGTTAAATTGTTCTGTCTGCACCACAAAGAAAACCCTATCAAGATCCTCCTGTAATCGATGACAGTCAAGAGGTAATGCTATAACCTTAAAAAGCTTTGGATCATCCGCAAGAAATTGGCAAAAGCGAAAAATATTTTTTAGGTCATTAATGAAGACATTAAAAAGGAATGTGGAAAGATGTCCCCCTTGTGGTACACCCGACGTCACAAGAGTCTCTAACGAAATTTAATTTTTAACTTTAACTGATTGCTTACGGTTAGTGATATTACTGCGAAACCAATTTAGAAGGTCTCCAAAGATTCCCATCCCTGAGAGCTTCCTTACCAGAATGCCATGGTCAACCCTGTCGAAGGCCTTGGAGAAGTCAGTATATATACTTGGAAATAACGAAAAGCAACCTCGCCCATATGAAGTGTCATGTACCAATAGAATAAATTATCATTTATTAATAACACGGTTTTAAAATAAACTTTAAATATATGGAAATCTGAGTTCGCCTATAACGAATCGAGAGTAGCACCCATGACTGAAGACGGTTAATTTTGAACATATTCGCAAAAATTCGTCGATGAACTCTTTTTTATCATATAAGATAGTGGATGTATTGAAAGTGTAACAACAAAGAATAATAATAATTATAATGCATAATAAGATTTAATCAAGAGGGCAATCGCAAAATTAAATATTGTCATAAAAATCAAACATAAAAATTTTAAATTAAAATAAACGTTTAAAAGAATTGAAACAAATGGGGTATGATTTAAATTTCAAGATACAGAACTACAATTTATAAAATAAGAAGCTTTTTTCAATTTAATTGGTTTTAATATTTATCCTTTTTATAATGCAATGCAAAAAGCCACTTGTGAAGGAAAATTCTTAACTTCTTGGTGATTAACAATTTTTCGCGTAATACGAGTATGCAGTTTCCAATTTTTCACACCAGTTTTCTTCAATTTTGTTATTGGCTTCTATTGTTGAAAGCGAGCCGTACGTTCAGAACGTTTTCATTCACGTCGAAGCATTCCAACGGTTTCCGCCACAGCGTTTCGGAGACGGAGAAGGGCTTTCAGTTTTCAGCGGAGTTTCAGTACGTGTCTGAAACTTGTCGGAGGGTGGTCGTTTAGAGGCGTTGCTAGAAAACACGCTCGTCATAGCGAGAAGCTACAGTGCCACGATGGGTACAGGTATGCTTAAGAATTTGATTTTCCTTCTGCGAGGAAATGGTCTTTTTGGTATCATAGAATATTGCTCTCTTAAAATTTGTTTTGTTGTTGCTGCAATCTTTACAAACTGCCCCTTTCAAATTATACGTTAAAATTAAGGAATTACTTAATTTGGTCGTGAACATAGGAAATATTAAAAAATAACAATAATGGACGTTAAACAATTGTAATAAAGTAGAAATTAGAGAATCGATAATAGTTTCTATATTATCGAATAATAAAATAAATAACTTCAAAAAAATCTTTAGCGGAAATTTGAAAATGCAATTTTTGTTAAGGTAAACTATTTCATTGGCTACTAGCTTTGTTTTTAATACAATACTATTAATTTTTAATAGAATTTGATAACAAAAACATAACAGCCCTTATAAAGTACCCGCATTGAAATAGCTACTGTTTGTGTTATAGTTGTCGATTAGAATAGTTATTATTTATTTATATTATTTCACGGTTTTTATTGGTTCTGAACATTGACGTTTAATTTTTCGAAAAATGTATTTAAACAAAAAGTTTATTAGTTTAACTTTTGGTCGTTTAGGTTGAGAAGAATTTCTCCATGTTATGGTAAAAAATAAATTTAGACCTTTTGCTCGTATGTTTTAAAACTATTTCAAGATTCCCTCTTGAAATGGGGTTACTTATTGGAATCATTGGTAGGGGACTTTTGAATTTTGGATAGTTTTAATAACCGAACTCGAAAAAAAGTTCTCATTTTTCGAAAAATTCATCTATTACCTGTTAACCAATACTTTCAATTAATTTAAATTAAATAATTAATATTAACTAAAATTGCTTTTTTAAAATTATTGTTGATGTTAATTAAAAGTCGGTAATTTAAATTAATTGAAAGTTTTTCTTAGCAGGTAAGATATTAATTTTCCGAAAAAATTAAACTTCGAGTACGCTTATTCAAAGTTTACAGAATTGAAAAGTCTCTATCGATTCGAACAATTTACGCCATCATAAACGAATTTAAGAGCGGTCTCATTCTCATATTCCTTCTGAATATCTCGCGAAATTTAAATTAAATCTTAATTAAACGCTACTCGTACATTAAATTTAATACACGGAGGGAGAACCGGATATTGTAAATAAAATGTGTGGTTTATGGGGGGTTGAGAAGACTTCGATACGGTACTCGCACACTTGTACACTGGTTATAGCGCAAATTCTTGTGGCTGTAATTCAGTAATAATAGCGTGCCATCCGTTGTCATCATGTTCATCATGTTCCCTACCATCCACACAATTCCATTCCTGCAGTATTTCAATTCAATATTGCAGTTTTGTGGTCTGAAGTGAAAGTCCTTTTTTCTCCATCCATACCTAGCGTACATATTTTTTGTTTCTTACTTTTTGATTTTGAAGTGAGAAGCAATCAATGCGTGTGGGTGGTTTCTTTCCTTTTACTTTCGAACACAGTGCAAACGCTTGAGGTGAAAACTGAACTATAAACCTGTCAAATTGTTGTCATTTATCCACACGTTGCGTCAGGCGAGACTGTCGGATGTGTAAAAATGACTCGCGCAAATGATTGTGCGTTTGTGATTCTTTTCTTCTCAACCCCATAAATTATTCCTTGGAAGAATTGAATTTTCTTAAGGAAAGAACAACAGTTGTTATAATAATATATACCGGTAAGGGTAATGAGAAGCAGATACTTATAGAAATGCGAAAAAAAAATGCTGTTTGCTCTATCTCTACAGGGAAAGTAGTGGGGGGGCTCTCAAACATTTTTTAAAATAATTTTCCATTTCTCCAAAAAGGCTTAACGCATTTAATTTTCTGAGAAACGAATAAATGCTACGATATTATTTTTTTACGTTATTATACAGTAAGGGCCCAACAACCCAGTGAAAACTGCATCTCGATATCTTTATCTTAACCTAAAATATGATTAAAAGAATTTAACGCATTTAATGTGCCAAATATTGTTTAAATTATTACATTAAAATCAAAACGAATAGTTCGTTTTTATCTTTTACTTTTATTAAAATACCTTTGGCTCGCATGTTACGCAGTAGCTGACATTATTATGTTTTGACATTCTTGCCCGTTATCAATTAATTTATTATTATCACTATTTTTTTCACTAACAATTAGGTTTAGTCAACTAACTGAGCATTAATTACATTCCTATAAAGTAGAGAATTTTTCAAAAACAAGAACGAGATAAGGAAATAGAGAATTTTGTGTGAAACACACTACAAGTTTCGAATCTCAAAAGCGCCTGTCATTTTTTTTAATTGGCAATTTGATCGGTTTATTGTCGCTCTTCATTGAGCTATTTCGCTTTAGAGGGACTGTTACTTATGCTCAAATATCGACGCCCCAATTCGTTATCTTTTAAGCTTTAATATTCTAAACCCCATTAAATTTTTCAGCGAATGATGGGAGTTTTCGCTAAACTCATTTAGAGCCATCGTTATAGCTTCGGGCTTAAAGTTAAAGCCGTTAAAGGATGGCGATATCGGCCTTTGTCATCTATCGACTCTTCGTTTGTTATCACAAACCTCGCTAGAGTTCAAATTATTAAATGCAATTGATAGGTTTTGCCAGAGTCAAAGTTTTTTTATACTTTTTCATTATCATAAATAACACAATTATCAGATTATTAAAAAAATACGACATATAGGCGCATAGGCGCATATATAGGCGCACCAACCAAAAAAAAAATAATTTCTGTTTTTTCCTCTTTTGAAATGGGGGTAATCCGGGCCGGTAATCGAATAATTAGTGCCCATTCGAGTGTTGTTTGCGTAACCTTTGATGGAAAACGCGCCACCGTTTTTTAGTCCACTGAAAATCCCCCATTTCCGCAATGTTCGATGTTTTATTTTCGACGGTCGGTTTTTGCAGCTTTGATCGAATTACACGAACCATGTCACGCCGATGCGGGAAGTGTGTGGGTCCAAATATCAGAATTAAATAACGAGGTATTATATCCGGTGTCGAAAAAATGTTTTTCCACCTGCCCGTTGTAAAATAAAAATAAAATTTGTAAAATTGACTACAATTCGACCCGTTATACGTGGGCAAAAATACACAGGAGTAAAATTGGTTGCATAATCCTTCCCACATTCTGTTCATTGAAATTAGGGTCGTTTCCTAATGCCATTTAACAAATTCATTTACGAAAAATGAATAGTTATTAATAACTAACATTTGCCCTAATTTCATTTTTTTCCAAAATTATTAAAAAGTGTGTGGAACACATGCGGAATGTGTTTTTACCGCACTTATTAAGTACAGTTTGACGTAAATGACGCTGAACTGCCACTCGCTGAACCCCATTGCGTAGGTTAGATCGTCAAACACCAATAAAACAGATATTCTGATTAAAATTTAATATTTAGACAATATAATACTCATACTACACGTTCACCTGAACTAATCATAAAGGATTTAAGCAGTTAGAAGTCAAATGAATAGAAACTATTATTGGGTAACTCGTTGCTATAAAAATCAGGAATTTTCTCAGAAAGTGTACAGCTTGATCCAAACTGTACGTTGTTTTATTCAAGCGTCGAGAGTCACCTTTTTCTTCTATACAGATCCCGTTCTACGCCAAGGTTTGGCGACGATGCTTCTTTCGGTGGTGATGTTCGCGGCTGTTGGGTATGGAATCGGACTGCGATGCGATATGATCCCCGAAGGGGTAACATCTCCTAGGTGCAGCGAATATCCAGGCAGATACAGGATAGATATTTCAGGAAATCCTGATTCATACATCCCAGGGGAACAGTATACCGGTGAGTCAAGCTAGAGTTATTACATTGAAACGAAACAATGAAGCAAAAACTTTGGGTACTCGTCTTCATACATTCTCGTTGTTTCGGCAAATTTCTCGTCCTGAGGAACAACCAAATCAAGAAATATTATTAACCTTTTTGTTCGTACATAACGGCAATAAAAGTGAACGTTCATTATATAGCAACACAGCATTGATTTCTATAAATATTCTTTTCTCTCTCTGGGACCTGAGATACAAACAAACAAAACAAAAATTAATAACTGAAATGGAGATTTTAATCAGAATCAAAATGTATTTAACGCAATTGCTTTCTCGGCTGTTGTGCGTTTGTCATCCGTTTTTTAGTTTTTTGTGTTTGTTCAACGCGTGCCCAAATTTTTATAAAATAAATAAGTCACTTTGGTTTTTTTTAACCGAGACAAAAATCTGGCTTCATCCGGACTTTTCAATTCCCGCTGAATTGTTTGCGAATGATGGTCATTGTGGCCGTTGGCTGGCCAAGTTAAACAAGTGTTTAAAGTTTCTCGTTGTTTATGACTCTATAGGTTACAAACGCGGAATGTCAAATACGCGTGAAGTTTTAATTAGACCGAACAATTAGTTTCCGGGCATATTATTAAAACCACCTGCACATTCGCTTCGACGTCATACGTTGAGGTTTGGATTCCGTTAGAACTTTCCCGTACACAGGCATTTACTATCGAGAATTTTGCCGCGAGCGTCAGTTTCGGTAATTGCTTTCGCTAGTAACAATGGAGGATTTTTTTATTTATTTGGTATACAGAGACGATTTTACGACCAATTTTATGTTTTCTACACCAATGAGTTGCGGAAAAATGTTAATTAATATCTTTCTTCTTCATCTTATATCTTCCTTTTTGACTTGTTCGAGATATTTTCAATCTCTTCCTTCTGTCGATTTCTCTTTTTGAAACGAAAACAACAAAACAAATGGCCTTTTAAAAAGCGTATTTTCGGTATTCTTAATTAACTTGGATTTACTTGTTTAGCCAGTGTAATCTTTGTAGTACTTGTAATATTTGTAGTACTTTCATTTAGTAGTAGAATGTTGAGGACCGGTTTTCTGTAAATGTTTGTTTAGAAATTGAAATTGAGAGCTTTTTGTTATGTATATATTCTGTATATTTTTGCCAACAATTGCTATTTTAATCTGATATAACTTCTTCTCGTCGTAGACATTTTTGTATATCAGTTATGAGCGATTAAGTTCAGATAAACCTTTATTTTGCAACTTTCGTGCATTAAAATTGCGATAGCTCTTAATCGTATTAATAGTTATTGACAAATGTTAATCGAGAGTGTCTATTTTCTTGACAAAACAAAACAAACCTACTGTTGGTGTTATACACCCTGTACAGTTGAAGTTTGTCCTTGGGTCCTTGCCCGTTAGGGTACTGCATTTGGACCTTCTGGTCTGGTTTGAATGTGATGCCTCCCTCTCCCCCTAGACTAGATCTGTACTCTAGAGGGAACGCAGAACTAGAGTTTTAATCGCCTGCTCTGTAGTGGATATCCCAATTACAAAATAGTCGTAATTGTACCGGGTACTTTTGGGGCCAGGAGTGCACAGAATAGGCCTACTATGAACGATTGGAAGGAATGCGAAAACTTTAACTTCAAATGCGGCATCCTCCTCTGACTAGGCGCTTTGTTTTGCAAAGCATGCCCTAATAAATTGAGATTTGTTTGTATGAATATTTCAAGCTATACAGTCAACTTTATGGAGTTTACAATATGGACTGAACTGATTCTCCGGCGTACAGGTAGTTTATAAAGTCTTCCAAGCATAAATAACTCGCGTCAACTCGATCAAAGCAACATGAAGACAATACTCCGCGTCTTCCCATTAACCTCGAGCAATAAATAGCCGGCAACTGAGGTGTACCGATCATCGTTAATCAAGAACGTTTAGATTTTGTCGGAATTCAGCTGGGTAATGTGTCGCGGCATTTACATTCAAACGAAACCCGAGATAATGGAGTAAACTCATTCCGAACGGCTCGTTTCCAAAGGTCCGCGGGTTCGTTTCAAATATTCAGCGATTCGATTGAACTGCAACGTACCGGAATACACAAAGGCGCGTTTCTCCATTCCGGCAATTTAGAACTGCGTTTAGTTGTCCTGTCGCGATTGTGGTTGTCACAGTTGCGCAATTGCAAACAAGTCCCCGACAATGTCGTTTGCAATATTAATACCGAAGCTCCAAGAATTTATAAGCGATATTGCGTATCAATAGGGTACGCGTTGCAGAATTAATTATTTCGTCAAAGCGACGGGGATTACCTTTGAGCCATGTCTTGAAGCAGGTGTAGCGTGCGATTGTGTAGCATGCGATTGAGTAACGTTCACTAATAAATATTGGTGTTATCGAAACGTGTAAAAAAGTCACCGATAACATTTTTCCTATCATCGGGGTTCAGTCCGAAGTATGCTTGTGTGAGATGCATGAAGCTCTGATACTGTTTCTCCTGCAGTCGTCACCAAGTCCTAACTTTTTAACACGCTTGCTCAGGCCATAGTATCGGGTTTTGAGATTCCTGATATATATTATTGCGTCATAATACATCAACATTTGGAACTATTTCTAAATCTCTTGCCTCCGGATTGGGCCCTTCATGATGAAGAGATGAAGTCAAAGAGAGCAGAAACGTCTTGATCGAGACTTTCTGTTTTACTCTTGTTCTTTCTTGAAAGTCTGCTGGAATTTTTTATTTGGAGTCTGTATTTGCTTCGTTTAAATTCACGCTATGGATAGCCTCTGCTTCTATAATTAAAATTTTTAGTGGTCATGTAGTACAAAAAGCCAAAGCCACAAACAAAACAGAGACCCAGCCTAGACGCAACCACTCATGTCAGACGGTATGCGGTTTTTAATACTGCCGTTCGACGTTCCTGTAATTCAGAAATATTTTCAAAATTTTCCCGTTGCTACACACGGCCCTATAGCGTTCACTTACTTTTGGTGCAACGAAGTATTTCCATTTGGTACTGAGATATGTATGGTCTCGAGTTGGAAATTAAACTACCCGCGTTGACAAATATCGAGACTTTCGCCGATAGACAAAGCCGTGACGTTTGAACGTTGTGCTTGAAAAGGAACTAAGAGGAAAAAGGCAATAATTAAACCGCGAACTTGGTAAAATTGGGGCGGTCCCGTATTTTCTTGCCAAGAAATCTTTCGCAATTACAGCTTTCACGATCCAGTCTTTATTGGCCTTCGTTCCGTATTTGGCGCTTAGCTTCTCCGTTTGTCAAATTACATTACGTCTAATGCAGACCTAAAATAAAACACAAAGTGCAGTTTAGTTATTGGACCTAAACGTTTGTGTTTAAAAAAAATGGAAATTAAAGAAATTGCATTGAGAATGATAATAATTTTTTATGAAATGTCTTCGATTTGGGCAGTGTCACTTTTGTTGACCATTGTCAAGAAAATTGTATATGTATTACCAATACTTAATATAAATAACGTATAGTAGAATGTCTTCGTTTATAAAAAAAGTTTTACATATTTCTGCCGTCTGTTCGATGAACACAATTTGAAATAAATTTTACGGGAAAACGTTATTTAAAGACCGAAATTTCAGACCATAAAACAAAGAAGCATGAATATGCAATTCCAAACATCGAATATTCATGTTCCGTACCCTATCGAAGTCATAATCATAAATAGAAGTCAAATTAAACCAATCCTTGTGGGATTTTGCATGGAGTCATTGTCTTCCAACTGATTCTAGAATGCCCTATATACATAAATCTTTTCTTATCAAGACTTTAAGCCATGGAAACGTCGTTACCGACGACTTTTCTACCTCTGCCAGCCTTTTTTGTCGCAAAAGAATAAGTAATTTCGTCGGCGGGATAAATATTCAATTAAGTTTACAGATGAGCTTCAACAAAAGCCATTTTTAATTGGGGCAGTTTCGCATTTAATGGCACTTTTTAATTTTAATTAAAACCCGAGTTTATATCGAAAATTCCCTCTTAATTGAAGCGCCGAAATAAGTCCGTGTTGTATTTGTTTTGATAGCACAGTTAGAGTCGAATTAGGCCTGGACCGACAACATTCGCAGCGGCTGCAGATGCAAATTTCGGCAATCAGTTAAAAAGACTCACTTCGGGAGTGGACGAGTTTGAGAAATTTTTTATATAGAAAATTTTTAATTATTAACTCTTTTAATTGTATTTGTGTTCAAATAGGTAAATTTATTATTGTTAAATGCTGACGACACAATCCCTACAACACATTGTAGAACCTTAACCGCCTTAGGTCAGATATCCAAGAGCAATGGAGTAAGGCCAATAGTAAAGGTTAATAACTTACTCTCAGCAAAACCAAAAACTTTGATCATTTCAGCAGACAACCATTTTGTCAACTTAAAACTACCGGGCTCCTTGGTGTAACAATCGATGGTATGTCTCTGTTGGCCTAATATCTGTTTATTGTTTAGAAGGCTTAAATCGCTCGTCAGCTTTCATCTATTGAACATGTGTTTGGCAGCCTTTGGCCTTTTTCAAGATAGCTCGGACATCTTCTCTTCTAATGCTTCTCTTTCTTTTGTGATATTTTTTTCTTATCATATCACATCATATCAAAAAGAGTTGTTTACTTGCGAACTAAAAACTTTTCGTAACTGATGCCAAAAATCATTTGTCTCCGTTCTCTAAAAATAAATAGCTAACGAGAGAATAATGAATTCTAAAAATTTAGTGGCATTCCTTCGAGGAAATTTACTAGATAATCCTTGCCGAATGCGTATACCCAGCTTAGGATTTGGTAAACTACGTGCGCGATATGCTTCAAAGGGGTTATTTCCCATTGCACATGTATAAACTGTAATAATAAGGTTCTATAGGATTCACTCACTAGATATAATGCGTTCCGTGGTTATGGCATCAATCCCGATAGCTTTGTTTAACTTATGTGTGATACTGGGCTGCTTGTGTTAAGATAAAACGAGTTGATAAAATTATTTC